ACTTCCTATGTATCTGACAACCCTGTGCACATTCTTGCATTTTTTTCCCTGTTGGGAACCATATCATCAAAAGATGATCAGGTTTCTCTGAAACCATTTTACATCTAGTTGTATAAAGACAAATATAAAGAAAATTACAGAAATAAACTATATTTGGTTTAAATATAAAATCTACATGCAGATGCATTCATGATGTTCCTATTCTCATGAAAATATTCGTATATTCTTGGTTTGATGTTTCTTCCCAGTTTTATTTTGCTGCTGTCCATTTCTTACTTTCCTCTTTCCCAGTATCCATTCATCCACGCATCCATCCACCCATCCATCCATCTGTCCACTCGGCTAGTATTCATTAAGGGCCTTCTGATGCATACTATACAAAACACACACCGACTTCTGTCCTCATGGACCTCTCATTCTATTGGGGCGATGGTAATAAATAGATTTCCAAACACGAAACATGCTCATCAGCTTCTGTGGGTTTGCTCAAAACTTTTCCAGTTTGAATACTGAAGATCTTGCATTCTGGGAAACCCTAGGTTCCAGGCACACAAGACTGATTGGTCAATATATATACATAATGTATGAGAGGGTAATCGATCCTGTGGGGAATAAAGTAGACAAAGGAAGGGAGATTACGGATTCAGGGATGGTGCGTTGCCAATTTAAAGAGGGACACCACGAGCCCTTAATAAAGATGATAATGTAAGAGCAAAGACTTGAAGAGTTGAGAGATGCAGATATAGGGAGAAAGAATAAACCAGGGCTGGGAAGTAGGAAGTTCAAGAGCCCTAAACTGTGAATGCACCTCCATATTCAAGGAATTGTGAAGAATCTGTGTGCCGTAGACTGAGAGGGTAGAAGACGAACAGAGGGTGTGGTAGAGGTTATTTGTGGCATTAGGGGACATTGTAAGGGATCTGGCTTCCATCTGGAGCGAAATGAAGATTCATTATGGGATCTTGAGCAGAGGAAACACACATCTGACATGAGTTTTTAGAGGCTCGTTCTGCAAGCACGTTGAAAGTAGACCCGGAGAGGGAAGGATAGAAATCACAGAGGAGATGGTGCCCCAGCTGGGATAATATCAGTGGACGTAAATGCATGATGGACTAGAATGGGGTGTGAGAGAAATAAAGGAGTCAAAGAAAACTCCAGGATTCTAGGGCAAAGCAACTAGAAGCAGAGATGAGATCAAGTGAAACGGGGAATAATTCTGTGGTTACGAGGGGAAAGGTTGGCAGTCAGGAATCCTGTTTCAAACATGTTGAATTTGAAATATAACTTAGACATCAGGGTGAAGCACTGAGTAGGCAGTTGGATATATAAGAAATAAGGTCTGGGCCAGAGATATAACCTGACTTTCCAAGCACATCTCCCAAATTATTTATTTATTTAAAGCCTCGTTTGACTTTATGAAATATTTCAAATAGTCAGAAAAATACAAACAACAATGTAATTTCCATTTGTGTATTGACCACTCAGATTTTAACATGTTAACATTTTGACACTGGATTGCTTTTAAAAGCAAGACCTTTTTCGTGGAATGATTGAGTCTCTACCCCACCCTACATGCAGAAGGGACTTGGTTACAGGTACCCAACTGTTCAAGGCCCAAGGCCATGTGCCCACATAGATGTTACACCATGGATCTCAGGACCTTGTTCTTATATTTTCAACCACTAGCCGCAGAGTCCATTTCCCCCTTGACTTGTGCATTTATTTCTCTGACTTTGATGCCCCCTCTTAATTTCTGACACACGGAGATTTACTGTTCCAGTTCAGGCTTGGCTTAATATTCATGTGATCTTTTTTCTAAAAATTCATTTCCTTATATTTTGACTGAGAAAAGATCCATATCCTATTGGTATACATTTCAATAAAAAATCTTTTTATTATTATATAAGAATTATATATTATTATATAAGAAGAAAATGATAGAAACTGTAATGGTTTCTCAAATACAGTGCATATATATTGAGTTTCTGAACAGATGGAAAGTTCTTTACGAATTGAATATACTCTCTGAATGCTGAATTACACAGGGCAAAGAACATTGATGTTTCAGTCATTCATGACCAGATTCCATCACCCATAAAAGCAGGCAGTGTCTGTTTTAATTCCCAACGTATGTGCAGTACCAAAGACAATTCCTGGTGTGTAGCGGATGTTCGATGAACGTTTGTAATTTTCATTGCCTGAGCAATTAAATGTCTAAGAGAAAGGGGATCAATTATTTCTTGGGTCATCAGGTATTATTGAATTTCAAGAGAAGAAAGGGTAGAAAATAACTTACCAAATTTGGTTCCTTTTCAAGAACACAGATGCAGCCCTTGTCCAGAAATGTGGAAGTGGCATGGGGACAAATGCTACCAGTTCTATAAAGAAAGCAGGAGCTGGCAGGGCTGTGAATATTTCTGCATTGCCGAAAACTCGACCATGCTGAAGATAAACACACAAGAAGTGCTGGTAAGGTCCTGAGGCTTGGTCGGTGTTCGAAGTGTTCTCAAAAAAAGGGACTTTAAGAGAGTGTGCAGGAAGATTCTAAGGAGTCAGTGTCTACAGATTTTCCCATTTGTTGCAATCAAGGGCTAAATCATATTCCTATTGCTCTGACTGATACCCTGAGGTCATCCTTTGTGGAATGATCTCCACAAAATCCACCCCTTAGGAACATGAGAGAAAGCCCTCAAACTCCCCATCAGTCAGGAGTCAAGTGAAGGATGTCTTAATTTCTTACCTCCTTTGGTTTGGGTAGAAAGGGAACAATATCGACACAACATCAGAAAGATGAAAATAGAACTTCTCGCTCTTCCCTGTGAAACCGACAAAACTTTCGACGGAAAGATATTTAAGTAAATCATTGCCATCGTCTTCAGGTGAACATCCTGCCTTCCAGAGGTTTACAGTCTAACACAGGCTGGTCAAAGCAAATAGGAAATTAAAATGGGCACATGTTGAGCTAAGTACATACAACTCAAGTGCAGTATTAAAATGGTACGATTGTTCCCCTTTCTCTTACATTTGTCATTGCCTTTGGATTCAGTTCCTCAAGCAGTATGACTATCATTTACTTAACACTGTGTTAGCAGAGGTCTAGGCACTGAGTAGTTAACAACAAAGAGTTATTTAGTTGAAATAAATACTCAACTAAGTATGTACCATTCAACTGGGGGGGCACCATCCACTTGGAAACAATGTTTTCAACTTCAGTGCTTTTGTTATGCCTGCTCTGTGGCTATTGCTTAGTGATAATTTCATTTATATTTCCAGTAATCTTTTATGGAATCCGTATGTGCCATTGATTATTTGAGAGACTGAGGATGTGGAAATGAATGAAACAAAGTGGATGTCCTCAAGGAACTCATAGTGAAGTGCAAAAGAAAGACATCAAAATGGCTAATTAAAATAGATTTAGATAATTTCTGAGTTAAAGAGTGAGACTAGATAGAAGGAAATAAATTACTTTAAACATCTTCAATATGGCTGGTAGAGAAGGAATTACATATATGTAAATAAACAAACATGTATACGTATATATGAAACACTTTTATTTCCTTCTTTGTCGAGACATAAATCATCCTTATAAATTCTTCTTTTACCTCTTTCTGCATCAAAGTGTATTCATTATTCTTTCCTCCTTCCTGGTCAGTTCCTTTCACATGTATTTGTAAAGATTATGAATCTTTGGACCTGGAGATTGTCATAGCAAGTGAAGTAAGCCAGAAGGAGAGAGAAAAATACTATATGATATATGGAATCTAAAAAAACAAATGACACAAATGAACTTATTTATAAAACAGAAACAGACTCACAGAGCTAGAAAACAAACGTGGTTACTAGGGAGGAAAGGGGGGGGTTGGAGGGATAAATTGGGAGTTAGGGATTTGCAGTTACTAACTACTATATATAAAATAGATTAACAACAAGGTCCTACTGTACAGCACAGGGAGTGATATGCAACCCCTTGTAATAGCCTAGAATGAAAAAGAATATGAAAAAGAATACGTATGTGTATGTATAACTGAACCACTGTGCTGTATACCAGAAATCAACATTCTGACATTGTAAACCGACTATACTTCAATTAAAAAAATTAGAGAATGAAATAAATAAATAAACAAAGATTTCTTCCCCATTCTGGCATTTCTCCTTAGGTCTCCTTCCGTTTCCCGAATCACTGCACATATTCTCTATGTCAGTCTTGTTTAATCCTGTGTTTAATCCTGTGACTTGAAAATAGTGGGTTATTTATAAATCCTGGTTGATATGATTGTCAGCTTCAGAACTTCAGGCTATAGTCCATGTTTATTAAGGCGCAATAATTCTTCAGCTGGGACAAATTAACTGACCTCAGCATGGACACTTTTTCTCTTAAATGTACTCCGGTGTTGTTCTTGTACTAAAAGCACTGGCCAGCCCGACACATCTCTGTCCGCATGTAGTATGGCATCTCTAAAGCTGAAGTTTTCTTGTGTGCCTTTCACAGGACTTTGCCATGCCCCAGAGCTACTCTGAGTTTTTCTACTCTTATTGGACAGGGCTATCCCGCAACGGCAGCCGCAAGGCCTGGCTGTGGATGGACGGAGCCCCTTACTCCTCTGAACTGTAAGCCTTCAGCACGTTTCCTGGGAAAGGCATTGAATAGCGAGGTGTTGCTTGGGTGACCAGAGTCCAGCAGTTTGGTTCAACAAGCGTTATTGGAACATCTGCTTTGAGCTGGGATACTGTGTTTGTTGCAGGACGTCCAAAGATATATAAAACATAGTGCTTAGTCCCAGAATGGCTTGTGAACCAGTGAGAGGGACAGAGTGGGATTCACTGAGAGAGAGAACGAAAGACTGAGGTCTCTTATGGATGAAGAAACTGACGTCCAAGTTGTGATGGTGACGCAACCCCACAACTTGTCCACACCCAGAGATAGTGTAAGACCTCAGAGTCCTTGCTTTCTGTGCAGTGAACTGGGGAGCACATCTTTAAAAATACAGTCTCTGAGAATCGATTTACTGACAATGTAAACAAGAATATTATTAAAAATTAGTTTTACTCCTGTGAGTGTGCGTGGTAGCCTTTGAAATCGCAGATGTGATATCTGCATCAGAATATATGACAGTTTAAAGCTGTGTTTGAACAGACACCTTTCTATATACCCATAGAGAGGATGTATTTTACCAGGAAATGGTACATATTCAATGTAATTACTTTTATTTTACAGTTAAATAAACTGAGTCACAGAGGAGATAGATAATTTTCTAGATGGCAGTAAAGTCCATCGAATTATAACGTATTATTTTAATTTTAGTTAGAAATAATTTCTGTTGTTTTGGGTGATCTGAGGTGACTAAGAATGCACCTGGAAATTGAGGGACTGAGAGAAAAGAGACTGGTGACCGCTAAGATCCCTCCCTGTGTACTTTCTGGGTACTTAGCATTTCATTTTAGAAATAAACTATGATAAAATTAACTTTTTTTCCCCTTTTTTTAAGGTTTGAGATTATAATAGATTTCAGCAGCCTAAGAAGCAGGGATTGCGTGACCATCCTCAACGGAAAGGCTTTCTCAAAGGACTGCCGTGAGCTGAGGCGGTGCGCCTGTGAGAGAAGGGCGGCCAGGGTGGAGCTGCAGGAGCTCCAGCAGCCTCTCTGAGGCTGGGGTCACCTGTTGCTGGGGTCACGTGTTGCCGGGGTCACGTGGAGGTGAATGGTTCTCCAGCGACAACTGCGACTTCCGACCCCCTGCAGAGAAACTGAAGACTCTGTTTTGCAGAACAAGTCAGTCTCGCTGCGTGCACCTGGCATAGCTGGGGTTTCAGTTGCCATTTTCTCCCATTGAATTCCTGTTTATACCTTTCAGGTACTGAAGAACTGATAATAATAAATGTAAATAATGTAAAGTGTGATTTTAGAATGGACTTGTGATGGAGGGAAAAGTTGGCATAAAGGTGCCCTTCAAAAGATGATTGCCAGTGTTGTGGTTGTGTGCGCCTCATTGAGAGCTTGTAGGGAGTCTCAAGAGCACTGAGTATTTCATTATTCCAGGAACACAGGAAGTCTTTGAGATGCATGCTGTCTTCAAGAGGGCGGTTTTAACATTTTAAATGTTACATCTTTCGAGGCACGCTTATGTCACCAACACGTGGCTAAATATGAGTGGTCCAAACTGCAGTGAGTTATCCAATCAGGTCACGGCAAGTGAAGGGTAACCCACATCTGCACCCAAGAAGCGCAGCTGGCTTCTTGTGCAGGGCTCCTTCCTCAGGGTGACCACACACACAAGTATAACAGGAATGATTGCAAGTGACACCATCACAGACACTGACTTAGCTGGCTTATGGATAAATCAATTTTAGGAAAATCTATTCTAATTATTTTAATTATTTTCAACAGTGCAAAGTGGGATGCTTCAGTTTCATTTTCAGTAAAAATCTATCTCTTAGTGAAATGACATTAAATTAGCAAATAAATGATAAAAAGAACACTTTTGTATTTATTCTCATAGGACTGTGTCACTTATCAATTGCTATTTGTAGATTTCTTCCTTAAGAATTTTCTCTTCGATTAGTTAGGACATTTCTTTATGTTGAACATATTTTGTGATGATTTATTGTGCTGTGCAAAAAGAATGGCGTTTGTGGCCATAAGATGGGAGCTTTAGATACCTTATTCTGATTCATTATCGGGCAAATCCCTTTACTTCATGAGGTTTATTTCATTAAGGAGGAAGTGGAAATATTTACAGTTTCTTCATGGTGTAACTGTTGGCTGAAATGAGGTACATGTGGAATTAGTTTCATAATCTACATTGCAATATAAAATGCATGGAATATTAACAATAAGTAAAAAAGCAGAGAAGGGATTTAGTTTTTAAAAGTAGGGGAGTAGCGGGTGGGGGCTTAGCTCAGTGGTAGAGCATATGCTTAGCACGCCCGAGGTCCTGGGTTCAAGCCCCAGTACTTCCGTTAAAAAAATAGGGGAGGGAGAGAGTGTACAGCTCAGTGGTAGAGCACATGCTTAGCATGCAGGAGGTCATGGGTTCGATCCCCAGTACCTCTGTTAAATAAAATAACAATAAAATAATAATAATAATAATAATAATAATAATAATAATAATAAACTTAATTACCTCCCTCCCCCTCAAAAAATAAAGTTAAAAAAAAAAAAAGAGGAGCAAAGGCAAGCATAAGCAACCTTCTCTGGAGACTTACATTCATGAACAGATGGTAGAGAGGCACCCACATTGGGGAGCTGTAGATATTACCCAATATTTTCTATGATGGGTGCAGGTACTTAATGAATGTGTTTAATATAATAAGCACATAACCAGAGACAGGGATGAAGCCTTTAGTTAAGTGATTATTTTTTAAGCCTTGCTACTGCAGGAAGAAAATATGGCTCATATGAGAAGGTCCACTGATTTTGTGAACTAAGGTGTCACATTGAGATTGCAGACATTAAGTTTTGACCCCTGGCATCCTACAGTCCTACAGACTAGTTCAAGGCTGGGTGACTCTTTAAATGCCGTTGCTTTAAGGAGTCTGGCTGCATGGAGAGTAGGTGTTGGATTGTGTTCTCTCTCCAAATCTGCAACCTAAGGGAAAGTGTCACTTTAGATGGCTAGCAGGGAAAAATAAAAGCATTGATTTGATATTTGTTATTCTATCCATCTTTGTCCTCAGTCCCCTCGTCTGCATAAGAAAACCCACAGTATCGATCACAATGTGAGCAAATACTGCAAAAGAACAGGAAAGGAGTATGGGACAGCATTCTCTCCACACATTTTTTCTTCTTCTGTTTTTTTTTTTTTAAGAATACAACAATTTCAGACTATTTCATGACATGTGAGAATTACATGGAATGAAAGTTTCAGTGTCCCTAAATAAAGGTTTATTGGAGCACAGCTACAAAAAAAAAAAAAAAAAAGAAAAAGAAAAAGAAAAAGAAAACAAAGAATCAGAACATGAATTTGAAGCATGATTTTCTCGGGACAGTTTTCCATTGAGAACCAGAGAGAGCAGCGCCCTGTGAGTTGGTTTTCTACCACGAGACTTTTTTTCTTCTAGGCTCTTGTGTGTTGAGGTAATTCTGAAGAAATTGTGGGAAAAGTCAAATGAGGATCATGGCCTTTCCTGGTAGATCTGAGTTCCCCGGGGTACACAATGAGCCGCGTCTTTTCCTGAGGATATTGAACCAGCTCTTAAACACTTATCAACAGGAAACAGGCCAGGAGCCCTGGAACAGCAGGAAGTGTGAGAAGTGTGCTGGGAGCTTCTACTGTGGAGATAGAAGCAGATTGCGAAATACGTAGAAAGGTCTAAAAGGTTGCCTCAGCGTTGGCCTCAACATTTGGGAGTCAAATACTTTCCAAAGGGATTCTTGCATTTTTTGAAGAATGCCAAATGCAGCACGATCGGATTTAAAGTGCACATGACTTCTTTCACAAAGCTCATTGCATGAATAGCTTTTTAGACTCTAATGATACATTTTATTTTATCAATAGTACGATTCTAAAGTTTTTCTTTTCACACATTTAATGTCTTTTGAACAGACTATGTTAAAAAGCTTCTATACGTTTGTAGAACAGAGTTCTATTTTTCCTACTGTCTGCCTTTTTAAAAATGATTCTGGAACTCAGTGAGATGGATTAAAGAGACCCCATTCCTTACTGGTAGGAGGAGGATATGAAACTGGTTATCCTGGAGCTGAGGTCCAATCTCTTACCGCTGTGTTGAAAAAATGCCTTGCTGTACCGGGCCAAGAGCCAACCGCAAGGAAGAAATCTATCCTCCCCCCCCCCCCCCCCGCCACATCTGTGTGCAAAGCAGCACCGTCACTGAGGAAACCTGAGAGGTTGCGCCAGCTGCGCTGTAGCAAGACTCGTGGACGCGCCATCGCGTGCTAGACGGATGGACATCACGACCGG